AGAGAGAGAGAGAGAGAGAGAGAGAGAGAGAGAGAGAGAGAGAGAGAGAGAGAGAGAGAGAGAGGTGGTAGCAGCCCTCCATCTCATGAGCGTTCTGGGGCCCTTGCCTTTCAACAAGAAAGGGGATGGAAAGTAAAGTGGGAATAGAAGGGGTGGGAAGTTGAGGGAGAAGTGGAGTGCTTACTTCAGCGTGTGTGAGAGTCGCTGAAAGGTTTGGCAGCGAGCTAGCCATCAAGAGAGAGTCCCAAATATCTCCAGCGGGCAGAAAAGTTGCGACAGCAGTGTCGCAACGTTTTTGGCCCTATTCTGAAGCAGGCGAGCGACAAAATTGTTGTGTCCTAAAAAGACCGCAAACTTCAGCCCGAAGTGCACCTTGCGAGAAAAGCAGCCATATGACTCACATTTCTATTCGTAATTTCATCTCTGTTTTTTTTTTCTTTGTTTTCTGAAGTTCTTTTTTTCTTTTTTGTTTCAGCCTTGGAGTACAGTATGATGCGCGCGCCGCGCAGCCTTTTCTCTCGTTTACTTGATTTCGAATCTGAGAAGCTAAGTCATAGTTGGATAACGTCTTCCCCCCGAATAGAACATCCGGTCACCTGTATCTGGAGCAACTGTCACTCTAGATGCAGCGATACTGACCGGGCGTTCTATTCGGGTCGGGTGAAGACGGTTGTTCCCCTGCAGGTTGAGTCTTTCTCCTGTCCAGACTCCCTGAAACTGCAGGTTGAGTCTTTCTCCTGTCCAGACTCCCTGAAACTCCCTACCATTGGAGCAGATCGCATTGGACGTAGTTGGCGTGCTGAGCTTCGTGATCTTCCTTCCGTTAAAGTGGGCGGGCGGGCAGGCGGGCATGTGCAGGGTACGTTAAGGCCTCCTGCTCCGAGTCAGGCATTTCTCTCACATTTGGTGTCGTTCCGGCGGAATCGGAATTCTTCAGAGAAGGTAATATATTGTTTAAATTTGTTTTGCCGTTCGAACAATCAATCCATGACTGTTGTTCGGGCGATCTATTCTTGCCTCCTCGGCGAGTTAACCAAATTTGACTGAGTCTTACTGTTACTTGTGTTTTGGCTGTTTAGAAGTGTTACTGTTGTGTTACTTTTACCGGGGGGAAAAAGGGAGGGGGGAGGGAAGAGGGAGGGACAGGAGGGGGGGGAGGGTGTAATGGAAAATATGAGCCCATCTTTGCTGTGGATGTGCATTTCCAAAGGTCAGTCTTGTGGATTCGGCGATTGTTTCCTGTATCTGAACACTACATAGCTGTCCATGTCGCTTTCAATGAGCAGACTGATGGCATGTTAACAGCAGTGCTGTTGTCAATGAGCACCGGGCTGGACTTGTGCGCTGATGTCGGGGCAAAAGTGTCAGGGTGCAAGTAGTGTAGAGCCTTGGCCTTTTCACATTTTCGTGTTTCGCCTGTTCGACATGATAAGAGGAGAGAGAGAGAGAGAGAGAGAGAGAGAGAGAGAGAGAGAGAGAGAGAGAGAGAGAGAGAGAGAGAGAGAGAGAGAGAGCACCATTGTCATGGACGTCTTCTTCAGTAGGAATCGAACTGAGAGAGAGACACAGAAAGAGAGAGAGAGAGAGAGCACCATTGGCGTGGACGACTTCTTCAGTAGGAATCGAACTTCCAGCACGCACACGCCTGCCCACACACACCCACGCACACACACTGGCAGAGTGGTGTGTCGATATTATGGCAGAATGACAGAGTGGGCGTCCTCTTTCTGCAGAGGCATAGGTGTGGGTGTGAGAGAGAGGAGGTGGAAAGCTGCAAGTTAAAAAGGTGCAACAGAATTGTTATCAGAACGCTCAGCAAAATCAACCGTCCCACATTGCGCACTCATGCTGAATGATGCAATCGTCAAAAAGACTTGAAGTCACTGCATAGATAATTCATAGATAGTGGCGGTTAAGATGGGCAAGAGGTCTGTTAAACATGGATATCTCGTCCTTTTAGTTCACAGCCAGTCAAATACAAAGGAAGGGTCCTTATGGCCCAATTTCCCATGATGTACTTAATTACTTTCAGAAGCATGTATGCGCGTACACCCCGGTAATGCCTCAGGGGTAAAACACCGATCCGAACAACTCCATTCACCAAAGGGTAGAAAATTTTATTCTCCTCTGCTTATATCTGAGAGCTTATGAATGAAATGCAGCTTGAATATTTGAACCATACCACAAGTATATAGCCTAATGAACAGCCGATTAGCTCAGTGGGTAGAGCACCGGTTGGAAATGTGCATTGTGGTCTGACGTTGCGCGTCCAAAACTCCGCAGCCTTGCGCATGGATGCAGGGGAGCGTCGACTGACGCACGGCTGTCCGGCTGTCCGCACACCCCCCTTGGGTTGGCGCATGGTAATGACTACAGACTGCCTGTACCACTCGAGGGGTTCAGACCACGGTCATCGTATGTTGGGTTAGGCAGCTTGGGCTATATGGGAGGTAGGTTTGCCTGATGATCTTGGCTCATGGGTGGTGCTGAAGGTTGCCCACTTGTACCACTCCAGGGGTTCAGCACAGCGCATAAAAAGACTACGGTAGTTGTCATGGTAGCTCAGTGGGTTTGCGGTAGGACTGTATAGATGCGGCTGGGGGGTCGAATCTGATCAGATGGTGCAGATCAGGCTCACAGGTGGGATAATTGTGCAGAGATAGCTGGGATGTGTGCAGGGATATTGTGGAGTGATAGATCGCGTGAGTCGGTGACCGCAGGGCTCTGATTTGGGGGTCAGGCCCACAGGTGGGATAATTAGGGGGTCCCGCTAGTGGAGGGATTAGGTAGGAGAGTCCTGAGGTAGGACCTCACTGGGGGATAAACCGGAATAAACCTAGTCGAGGATAGAGGCAAGAGGAATGGTTGGGGGGGCTAGTTTGCACCGAGGACTGAGACGGGTGCTGTTTAGGGGGGGGTCTTGCAGTAATTGCTCTCTCAGGGATGGACAATGGTGAGATAGCCTGCTTTTTTGACAAATAGCACACAACCAACAATGATCAGAATAACAATGGTACAATCACAATAATGCGACTCGAGAGGCGTCTAGGGGGCGCCTATGGGTAGAGGGGCAGATAGGGGGCCGTACATCTCTACTGATAATAGGCTAGAATGTGATGTGATGTGGCGGTACAAATGACCGCCCAAAGGGAAAAAGGCAAAAAAAAGCACAGCATGATGTGGGATAGTTGTGGGGTGAGTCGTAGTATGCGCACCGGGTGGGGCACTATGCGGGCTGAAGTGTAGGTGGCAGATGCAACGTGAGGGCGGTGATGCAAATCTGACGCAATGTGAGGGTGGTGATGCAAACCAACTCCCCCCCACACAAAAAACA